TGGTTTTGTGTGGTTTATTACCCTCTTTTGCTTGTTGAATATGTTTTGCAAATATGAAGATTAACTTCTAGTGAATATATTGCAACAGTTCAGATATGTACATCCCTTTCAAAAATGATTCACTCATGTATGTACATATGTACTTCTGATGCTGCCCAATGAGGTGCAAATATTTAGTGCGGGCAATCTATTAATGAGGGTTGTTCATATGTATTTTCTTGGTGCTAAAAAAAAATTAATGAGTCAAGTATGTTGTATGTTTTGAAGTGTAATGCATGCTAGAGTTTAAATTCTATGTGTATACGTTCGATTTTTGAGAAATCGATTGAAGTCTTGTTTAATTCATAGAAGTGTTATGGATTATTGGACTTAGGAACGTCCTTGACGCAATGACTTTGGACATGTGTCGTTTCGTTGTGTAATTGTAAGTTATGAATTTTTGGAAATCGTGTTGCAGCCCGTTTTTGCTAAAATCACTATAATTCGTGTATTGCTCCAAAAAATTTGATTTTTGGATATGTTGTAATGTTGCTGTTGTAGTACTTGTGGTTAAAATTTGAGAATTTTATATGGCTGCAGCCTTGTCAAAACTCGACAACCATTTCTAGGCTGTTTCATAATGAATTCATATAAAATTCAGTTCTTGTCTTAAATGACTCATTTTTTGATATGTTGTTGTTCTACATGTTACCTTGCTGCTGTAAAAATTTCAAAATCAAATTTGAACTGTAGCTATTTTAATTAATTAAATTCATGTTCTGGTCATATTTTGCTTAAATTATTTAAAATGGTTAGGAGCATGTTTAGGGGTTTTCCTTTGGTGAAAATGTGTGTTTTTAAGTCTTCTATATGCTGTTAAAATTTGAATTTGAAAATCCAAGCCTAGCTCCTTACGGTCCCATTCTTATAATTTTGAACTAGTCATTTTTTTTACCGTTTTTGGCACCGGTTGGTTTTGATGGCAACTCCTTGATCTGTTGACCCCATTTTTATGCCAAACCTTCATTGCCTGCTTTTATATGATCTATTAATTAGTTGGTCGAGTCTAGGAGTCGTCCTAATGTTCCAACTCCATAACTTCCACGAGTTTCTTAGTCAATGTGATTTGACTAAGTATAATTCTCGTTATCTGTGTAAGAGTCGAGATAGTTGCTTATGTGACTGTCTTGACTTATGTAAGTGTCTGACGAGCAGAGTCTCAACCACCTACGACCTTCTGATTAATTTGCTTTATCAACCGATATCAGGTGGGTTTATTTTTAAAATTGTTATGCTGTAATTAATTATTTTTGTTGTGGTATGATCAAAGTGTGAGTATGGACCATGTAGCCTTTGATGTGAGTTGTATCGGCCGTCGAACGGTTATCCCCGTAGCTATATAACGTACCTTCACGTAGTCTCCTTTATTTATGTATGGCAGTCTGGGCATGAGCCTTGGCTGGTGATCTCCGATGTAAGTCCGAAGGCTAGGTTCTGGGCATTCAGGGTGGATTTACTCCTGCTGGCTGGGTATCGATTGTAAGACTCGAGGGGCATTTCGATACGTGTATCAGTACAGTGGTCTATTGGTATAGGTG